TATGTCACTATCGTGGCATATATGCCCGAGGTCTCAGTGATATATGGCCCGACCTTGGGAGGGACATTGATCTCTGAGAACCGAGGGCATATGTGCCACGATAGTGATATAAACGATTTATAACATACCTATGATGATGTAGACTGGTCAGAGAGTACCGTTTTCTTACAGAATTGACAAACAAATTTGTTTGAAAATGATTGAAATGAGTTTAGAAAAATTGCTCGCGCAGTTTTATCTTCGATTGATTGGTTATGACGTCAGCGCCTTGACCATTCAGAAAGTTGGCGGGCGCGGGCTTTTCAAAACTTATATTGGCCCGCTGTCTTGTGTACACTTTGCACTATACATCATCATAGGTATGTTATAATTAGAGGTTATGTCACTATCGTGGCATATATGCCCGAGGTCTCAGTGATATATGGCCCGACCTTGGGAGGGACATTGATCTCTGAGAACCGAGGGCATATGTGCCACAATAGTGACATAAACGATTTATAACATACCTATGATGATGTAGACTGGTCAGAGAGTACCGTTTTCTTATAGAATTGACAAACAAATGGTTTGAAAATGATTGAAATGAGTTTAGAAAAATTGCTCGCGCAGTTTTATCTTCGATTGATTGGTTATGACGTCGGCGCCTTGACCAATCAGAAAGTTAGCGGGCGCGGGCTTTTCAAAACTCATATTGGCCCGCTGTCTTGTGTACACTTTGCACTATACATCATCATAGGTATGTTATAAAAAGAAATACAGTATATGTTATTGATAAAAGTGAAAATGATGATCAATTGATGAAAAATGCCAAATTTTGTTATTAAATGTCTAATTTTAGACACTAGTATATTAATGAAGGTCCTGAAACAGTAATTATACCATTCAATAACATATAAAGAATGGCTTCATCTTTGTTAAAGTTAATACTGGTAATTTTAAGTTATTTTTTATATTTTCCGGTCATCTTCCCTGATAAATGGGGTAGGGGAGATCTGAAAGCTCTAATATGAACATTGTTTGTCCACTATACATTATCAATACCTTAAATGGAAGAAGACATGTACAAGAACAGATTTAATCAAAAATGCATCAACCAGTCAGCATAAAACTCAAGATATAAGGATCTATATGTTATTGCTGAAAGCAGCATTGATTAAAAAATGCCAAGTTTTGTCCTTAAATGTCTCATTTCTAGCCACTTGAATACCAATAAAGGTTTTTAAAAATCTTAAAAACATTAAATAACATATAATATTGATATAGAACAGCTACAACTTTATTAAAGTTTATAATTTCAAGTTATTTTATTTTTTCATATTTCTCGTTTATTTTCCATAATAGATGGGGTAGGGGATATCTGTAAGCTCTAATATGAACATTGTTTGTCCACTATACATTTTCTATATCTTAAATGGAGAAAGACATGCACAAGTACAGATATGATTGAAAATGAAACAATCAGACAGCATAATACTCAAGATATGAGGAACTATATATTACTGCTGAAAGCAAAAATGATAAAAAATGCAAAGTTTTGTCCTTAAATGTCTCATTTCTAGCCACTTGTATACTGATAAAGGTTCTGAAATATCTTAAAAACATTAAATAACACATAATATTGATATAGAATAGCTACAACTTTGTTAAAGTTTATAATTTCAAGTTATTCTATTTTTTCATATTTTTCGGTAGTTTTGCATAATAAATGGGGTAGGGGAGATCTGAAAGCTCTCATACGAACATTGGTTGTCCACTATACATTTTCTATACCTTAAATGGAAGAACACATGTATAAGCACACATTTAATCAAAATTGCAACAACCAGTAAGCATTAAACTCAAGATATAAGGAACTATAGGTTAATGCTGAAAGCGATAATGATTAAAGAATGCCAAATTTTGTCCTTAAATGTCACATTTCTTGACACAAGTATACTAATGAAGGTCCTGAAACATCTGAGAAACCTTACATAACACATAATATTGATATAGAATAGCTACAACTTTGTTTGAGTTGAACATTTTGACTTTTTGTAGTTTCCATTTTTAGCCAATTCTTTTCTAAAAATTTCAAGGTATGTCTTCTTCGGACCAGTATTTAGATATGTTCGCAAGAGTTATATGCTTCGCAGGCGAAATCCCTTATGCAGGACACCCTAATAGAATAAAAAATACACAGAAATTCCATCCAGCTCAAAAAGTCATTTTTTCCTTAACGGAGCCTCTTAGAAAATTTTCCACCCCGAGTAAGAGGGTACCGCTGAATTTCTGTACCGTTCAGAGCATTTTGGTATAATGAACTCATCAGTGTTACGCAAGTTTCGAGTTTCTGGTTTTTTTAACTCATCAAATATGTCATCAAGAAATTTAGGGTTAGGACCATGTACTATTTTGTACATAAAGTTGTTTATAAACATTTTTCTTCTAGTGTCAAGAGATGGCCATTGAAGTAGCGTTAGTACTTTATCTGTGCTGCTCCCGTGAATACAACCTGAGCAGTAGATAGCAGCTTTATAATATAATCTATCGAGCCTTTGAAGTAGATATTTGGAAGAACTATTGTAAATGATGGTACCATAATCAAAATGGGGCAATAGGAAGGAGTTGAAGATTGTCTCCAAATGACTAGATCCTATTTTGTTTTTGAGTTTTTTAAATGGATTCAACATTTTTGTTACGTTATCATAGATGTTACTTATATGGTGCTTGTGTGTTAAGCAGGGATCAAACGTGAAGGCGTAAGGCGTTCGATTCCATATGACTCTAATTGATTATTAGACATGCCCTTGGAATATATGAGCATTCCAATACCTCTGTAAAATGTAATAAGATATAAATCTTACCTTTGTTATTGTATTATGAAAACATGAACAACAATTTGTTGTTTGACCCCTTGCGTTTATATGGAAAAATTCTGGTAATAAAATGTTTTAAATGGTTAGAAAACTAATATGTTTCCAATCATAAGAAAATTACCTAAACATTCCACACAATTTTGTTGAATTGGCTTGGCTCATATTTGAAAAGTCAAACAAAATCTGAAAAACACACTTGCGTAATTACACTAATAAAACACCGACATATACGGTAAACTTATAGTATATTTTACAGGGTGTTAAAAACGCAATCCAGGGAAACGCTATATCTTTGAAAATACTAATTCCTTTATGTTGATTTCCAGGAAAGAAAGAAGAGACTGCGTATGTATAGCTCCCGTTGTTAGTTCTTTGCAAACCATGATGCATTGGACACCTGCGCAAACTACATTTGTACCAGAAAAATACAAAATGCACAGTCAGGGGAGACTACCAAGCGCAAAAAATACTGAACAAGAGATCATTTTAAAAAATGAAGGCTCTTGTGAAGGAGATGTTTGCAGTGTTGTAATGAATTGTATTGATAAATAGGGATACAGTCTGGAAAATTGATATTTTATGCATATTTTGAAAGACGTTCTATAACTTGTGGAGCAGGTGTTCCTTACAGAAGAGTGTTTTCTAAGTAAAGTTTCACTGTATAAGTAAATTGCCAAGCTTACTTTTAAGGCGGTTGTGATTTACTGAACGGCAAAAGTAGAAAAAATCCGAACATTTTGAACTGATTGAGATCTTTAAATTGAACTCATCCAAACACATCAAAAAGTGAAGATGGGTCAATTTGATTCTCGTTCTCCGAAGATATTAATAAAATAATTAAATGTTCTGGTTTTTTTTAATGCTGTAAATTGTTCACAATTCTAAATCAAGAAGTCGCTCGTATTTCTGTCGTATCTAGGAAATCATGTTGCCGAAAATAAGTGCACAGTGTTCATGGTGTTGTTGTAAAATATTCGTATATGTCGTTTGAAACCCTCTCTAACGCAATTTTATTATTAACTAACACCTTAGGGTTAAACTATTGCTCGAGGAATTAACTAATTGTCATCATAAATATTAACCCATCAGGTTTTCTACTAGTAAACTAACGTTTAATCCTCAGTCCAAGTGAGATATGGCTCTTGCCTCAGCACGAGCCAATAACTTAACGCAACTAACTTAACCATAGTGTTTTGGATCTTCAAATTTGGCGTAATTCATCTTCATTCAATGTATGGTAAATATGTTGAGTTACTTTAAAATCACCCTAGGGACTTCACAGTCATGGTCGACATGCTTTAAAAACACAGTCCCATACAGTCGTGGGGTTTGGGTAAAAAGCTTTGGGCGTGGGGTCAACAGGGTGTTCAAAAATGGTTTGGGTAAAAACCGTTGGGTGTTGTATTTAGCAGAACAGCGCGCCTTTGGATATTTGATTGTAAAGGCTACCATTTTTTGGCTTATTCACAAATAGCTAAGAAAAATAATAAAGACCCTACCTTGGTCGCCTGTCCATCTGCCTGCAAAATACAGAGTGCAGGCTCACAAAAATTGTTTGGTTTTCAAATCTCCAATCGCATCTCATTGCACTTCAATTTTCTCACTTGAGAATAAATGAAAGCTATACTACTAAATCACATTTGAACGTACTTCCCGCGCCTTTTTACCCAAAACATTTTTGAACACCCTGTAGACCCCACGCCCAACTCCCAACGCCTTTTTTACCCAAACCCTTTTTTCGTATTTCTAACGCTAATGTGTTTTGAGCAGATGTCCAAGGCATCGGGTTTTACAACTAAATAACAACAGGAGATGTGCATACATAGTCTTTTCTTTTGTCCTGAAAATGAACACAATTGGATGAGTATATTCCAAGACATAGCGATTTATTTAAATTGCGTTTTTTGTGCAGACCATTCAGTAAGCAAATCACTTAAGGTTGAAATTCGACGTCGATTGCACTTTTTACTATAATTCAGATGAAAAAATAGGTGAAAATATATTGATGTATAACATAATATGTGAAAATTAAAAAGATTGACCGTTTGATTATTCCTAAAAAAATATTCTTATTATTTGTCATAAATTGTCTACCTTTAGTTATTGTTGAAAAGATTGAGAAAAAGTGTAGGTATTAGAAATCATGTCAATTTATCTTTCCAGCTCTTGGAGTATTTTCACATATTTTGCAAATTAGAATTCAAACAGTAAAAGCACCACATGCTAGCATTCATTTTATTGCAATTCAGTACAATACAATGCCATTCTCGCATATCTATTACAATTCGTGGTATCTTTGTCAATTTATGACCATTCTGTTTAGATTCAGTCAAGGGTTACCTTCGGCAGCAAACCTGAAGGAAATAAAACGAAGTTGGGTTAATCATTACATAAAATTCATATTCTCGCTTTTTCACAAATCGCAGTATTAATGCGACGGAACAGTAAAAAAATGGATTGTTGATTTGTGCGTTATTTTTCTCAGCTTTAAATTAGAGGTTATATTTCTCATAAATACAGAAAAATTATGTAAGCAATTTATTAACACTTCGCATTGTTTATCAAATGTTGATGAAACAAATCGAAATGACTCACTTTTACATTATAATGTTGAATTCTAAAACTATACTTGCATGATATGATATGTGATAAAATAAAAGTGCAATGTAGAGGCGATGACCCAATTGGTATTATGACGCACATCCTGAACTTCGTGGACGTGGACATTCTTAACATGATATGTAAGATGCACCTATTTCGCTCAGTGCAAATAATAAATCCTAAGGCATGATGCTAAATTGAATGAAGCATACTTACACTTTGTGGGTTTCACAAATTCTATCTTTGATCCTTTCAAACAGGTTATTTGTTCCAAGTTTCATTTCCTGATTGATGTCGTTTGTCTCGATCACATCTGTTTCAAAGTTCTTAACCAATATTTTGTAAAAGTCTCTAGCTGCCGCTGAAACAGCATATGTTTTAAAGTAATAATTAAAAAGTACACTAATTTACCAGTATAACAAACGAAAACCCTTCCGGTTATATACTTATTATGAACTTTGAAAGGTTACTATTGTTACAGGGGATACATGTTCAGAGTTAACATTTATTCTGAATACGCCGTGAAAGTGTCGTGTGTAAATCAGACACAGGAGATAAAGAGTAATCACAATACGCTCAGGGGACGGCAAAATTTGCACAAAATGGCAACTTCATCAAAAACTGACGAACGAGCAAAGGCGATTAGAATATAGAATCCGTGTAAGCTTACATGCTTGTTACTTATAAAAGAGTATTGGTGATTTCGCTGACAAAGTTGGTGTACAGTAGTTGAACATTGTCTTGAATATTAAAATTACAATATACAGAAACCGAAAAGTATTTATGAATTATTGATGCGTGCGCACTTACTTCTTTTCGCGTGAGTAGTTTTGGCTTGAGATAATGCAAGAATGATGAAATCAGAGTTTTTCTCATCCTGTATACGGTTTCCGTAAGTTTTCGCTCTCTGAAAGAAAACATATGGATGCATACAATGCATTTCGTTCATAGTGGAAATGAATACATTATGCTTTTTAATCAATCTTCGGATTCAATAATATTTCATGTTGTCTCGGGCCAATCCCCGAAGAGCCACGATAAATAACTTAAGACATCTGAAAAGCGGGGCTCAATACCCCTTTTTTACAGGGTATGATATTATACTATAAATATTTCAAACAATATAAAATAAATGAAAATAACCGACTGCCTCACTAACATCTATTGCATCTGCCATCTGTACTCTCTTATCCGTACTAACACAATTGTCAGGCGTCGATCGAGCAGCACATGTGTCTGCTGGATAGTTCTGGGTTAAGCAACAGCTACCACAGCATGGAAAGGTGACGCCATCTGTAGCTAAGAAAACCAACGTAGGAATATCAGGCCTCCATCCATTTGCCTCTGTTAATATTCTGAAAACACAATTTCAGCGCTCTATAAAAGTTTCAACCACATTGACTCATAGTGTAGTATTATCCCATGTTATTAAATTGTGATATTTGCAACTTTTTGTTAAATTCTAAAAGCCCCCGGGAAAAGTTAAAATTACTTACAAATGGTTGTTGTTTTAAATCGCGAAAAAAGTGAATTTAGTTGAAACAAAATTCTAGCTATTAGAGTTCCTAAGCTAATTACACTAACGGAAGTTCATAAGGGTGGGTACAAAGATAGTAGAGAGTGACCATACGTCTCAAGATGCTTAATTTACCTATCGATTTATATTGCCTGATTACATCTTGTTTTATTGGGAGTGCATTGATGTATACTTTGATAAGTTATCTACTTTATAATAGGAGGGATACATTGTCTCGTTTCTTTTAATTAATGGTGTCTTTATGTATTTTGACCATTGCATCGAATAGGTTGATGTACAATGCAATCAACAAATTGAAGATAATTAGTAGACCACCATATGATTTTTACAAGAAATCATTCATATATCATTAGGAGCACCCACGTGACAAAACAGGCAAAAACAATGTTCACTTCAAACTAACCAACTCAGTACCCCTCATATTTTACATCATTTTACATGTTTTGTGATAAAATACAATTGGTTGAAAATGATAGAGATATAAAATCTTACGCACAACAGTGGATATTAAGATAAAAAAAATAAGAACCAAATTTCAAAGAAAACAATGGAGAAGAAATATTTCAGAAATAAACTTATTTCAAAATGAGTCAGGTTAGCACCATATAGCCATATTTTGAAGGCTTGGCACATTTGAGAAAGATTGAATAATTTTGAAAATAAGTTAACACCCTGATATACATACAGTGTAACCTGACATTAACGATTTTTAAATAAAAAAAGTAACCATTGAATAATATTACGCTGTTTTTTTATATTTAAACCTAAAACAACCCCAACGTCAAAAGAAAATTCCATTAAAGGAGACAAATATTGCTGTCATTTATAAAGTAGGCAATTTACTCTGAAATTACAAATTTTTGAAAATGGCGAAAATTTACTTACTCGTCATAAACAACCTTCAATGCTTTATCAGTCCTTGTTCCAGCGCCAGTCCAGTTCTGTGCCTTGTTGTTGATCGATAAAAGAGTATTATCAAGACTATTCGTATTCCCAAACTGTTGTATCACCTTGACGTCTTCGTCAAAAGTAACAATAGCTACACGTGTAGCATCATTGCCTGTACACAAAAACGAAACAAAATGCGAAGAAATTTAGAAAGCTCATACACGCCCCATATTGTAGGCGACTCACTCTAATATTACATGCTCTCGGAAAATAGGAACATTAAGAGTCCAAGAGGTAACTTGTCGAAAGTCAAATGTAGAATCTAGGTACATCATACCTTACAAAGATCCCAAATTCTTAAACAAACTTAAGGTACTAGGCAGTTTTTTGGTCTTAAAGTTTGCGAGATTTTCAAAAAAATTGAAAAAAGAAAATGTGAAAAATAATTTTGAAAAAAAAATTGAAAAAAATGTGACGAAAATTAATTTGGAAAAAAAATTGGAAACATTTTTTCAGGAGCGGGACTGGTATGGATACAGCGTGTATCCATCCCGTCACATTTGTATCCTCCAGTCACATTTGTCGCACGGAGGCCGTGCGTCGACCGCAGATCAATTAAATCAGTGTATTTCTGCGGCGAGCGTAGAAAAACTACGCTCGCCTTGCGGCCTCCGTACGGCGTATCCAGTTTTTTACAGGCCCCAGGGTCGCCGTAGAAATTATAACTCGGAGTTATAATATTTGTTCAATTCTGAGGTCCCCGTAGAAATCAAATGGCTCAACAAGATTGAATCATTATTTGTCAATGTTTCACGATCACTTTTCATTGGATATTACATCCTAGCACTATGAATAACATTTATAAATTGTCCCGATGTAAATAAAATGAAAAAAGTATTATTTATCAACAGAAATTTAAAATTCACCGTGCGGCTGCCGTGGGAAATGTGACTGCAAAAGTATGAGAGCGCAGAAATTACACGGCGAGCGTAGAAATGTTACTGGCCGCAGAAATGATAGACCGCAAGGTCGCCGTAGGTAATGTGACTGGGGTGTTATGTACCTAGAACCTCAGTAGGTATGAAATACATATAACTATACGTCCCACCTTATAAACAAAGAATTTGGAGGGGAAAAACGTTCTTGGTGAAAATAACATTAGAATTGATTGATAACATTGACATTTGTATTATATAAGAACATATGTTTACGAAACGCCAAAATTCAATTAACTTATATTTATAACGTATACGTTACGTTACGTGCCGTTTGATTTTTTGACGACTGGAGGCGAGTTACCAGTCCAGTTCACCATGCATATAAACAATCAATTTCTTATATCATTTGACTGAACAACACGATACAAGAACAGGAAAACTTACTGATATCAAATTCAGAAACCAGTCCAGACGTGAACTGCTTAACCAACCTTAGAGCTTCTATAGGGGTACTTATGCGCTTTTCGTATGGTGCCCTTCGAAGTACTTTGTTTTCAACATCACTATTCAAGCTCTGTGTGGTGTCATAAACAAGCACCAGGTTCATATCTTGTCCACATGGTGGTTCTGTTGTAGTAGTTGGTACTGTGGTAGTAGTTGTAGTTGGTGCTACAATCACAGCTCATTTAAAATGTGGGCAGTGCCTCGAATTTTTGTGGAGGTCCTTGGTATTGACAAATGGAGGGGTCGGTATGACAGACAAGTTTCCTTTTTTGTAACACCGGGTGCCATTTTGGCCACAATAGGCAACCCTATTACATAATTACAATATTGGATCTATTAAAAACAATAAGGTCCGAAGTGTTAACTATTTATTATTCCTTAAGCAGTTGACCCCCCACCCTATTTCCGGCAGCTATATGGTGAACTATCTCTCTAAAGAAACCCTAATATATACAATTTAGAACACAATTTTGCAGGTGAAATTACTTTTACGCTTACTATAAAATTGGAATTAATACACACAGTTCTTACCCATAGTTGTAGGAACAGTAGCATCGGTAACAGGTTCCGTTGGTGGTCCTGTTGTAGTTGTAGGTTTGGGTGTGGTTGTGGCTTTTTCTTCGCAAGGCTTATAATTATTTATTACACTAGATACTTTGTCAACAAGATCAGTGTCGTTAATGTGGAATGCACGTTCAGTTTGGCCTCCTACGAAACCATAAATCTCAGTTTCTCCCTCTTTGCCCCATCTATGGACAGAAAATCATAATGTATAGTACTATATTTTACTTTTTTTCTTTATTCATATTGATGCACTGTTATTTTTAATTGACGAAAATCTACCTGTTGTCCAGTTTTATCGAATATATATCCGCCCCTGTATCTGCTATTGCCTCAGCCTCGTATATCGCAGCTGAAACAATAAACATATTTTGAGAAAGAGTTTGACAGGCAACCAAAACAGTGCATAACTAATGCAAAGAAATTACAGAGAGTTTTATTTTTACGAAAAGTGGTTATAATGATTGCAATTTGTTATTATAAATCAAGAACATAATTATAAACAACAAAATTAAAAAAAAGTCAAAATCGTATAAAGGGTATATTCGTCAAGAAACACATTTTGAAATACTCACGCCATCTGCCACCATATGGGAAAGTCCTGCCGTCTGAGACAATAAATACTATATCTTTAGAGCGTGGTAATCTACGTACGCCATACTGTATACGCAACACACGACTTTCGAAAAATCTGAAATAAGAATTAGAATTTGGTGAGGAGATCTGTACCATATAGACTAATAATATAACTTTAATTTTAATTTTGAGCGGTCTTATGGACTTGATTTTGAAGAACAATACATCAATTATTTTTTGCAAAACTAAGTAAATTTGTATTAAGCCATTTGCTGGTAAACAAACTGATAATTTCCGAACGATATGCAATAGATTTAATTCGATACGTGAAGGACAATTGTTTCATTTAACATATTTTGTCATATTGCAGCACGGAACTATTTTAACTTGGCTGGCTGCACAAAAAGTCTTGTCATGCGCTTACATTTGCACAATATGTTACAGTCTTTTGGATACACTTGGCCAAACATGTACGGCGAACCTTGTCTAATGTGTAAGGACGCAATGCTTCAGTTTAGTTAGGGTTTTACATTTCGGTGTAAAATAATGCATGTTGTCCAGCAGAGACTTGTATCCTAGTTGTGATGACAATAGATGCGAGGGGAATATTGTTTACACCATATTGATAAGTTTTACAGTTTTTTGCTGGCCGAGTACTCGACCGTTTCTTAAGGTGAGAACTATGCATATTTTTAATTGTACCATGTAGCTGATTCTGTTCATTTTGCTCATAAATAAACGATGTCACGTCGAACAAATTTGTGTTTTTGTTGTTGTTGTTCATATTTTCCTTTATTTATTCGGTGGACTGAGACTAATCGTATCTTAAACAAATATTACTTTTAACATTTTACTTTCAATTGACATTATCATATGTAAATTATATCCATTAAATTACTAATAGGTTCATTGGTTCATTTAATAAGAAATAACAAATAGCACGTAGATACCATCATAAGCAATGATATCATTAATTCAGAAGTAATTGTTATGTAATGTCCAATCATGATGATGGTCATGATTCTCGTGTCACAAAAACATATAGTATTTTGACATCGGACAAAAATTGACTTCTGACAAACGATGAATTATCTGAAAGGTGATCGTTTCTCAATATTTTGATACATCTGTCACATCGACAAGTTATGGACTGTCCCGAGTGGGTGCAGACGATAGAATCTACCTGGAAGCTACACTCGTTATTATATAAATATACAGTGTATATGGAGCGGGGTTAATATTTTTGTTTTTCCCATGATATTATTCTTTTCGGTGAATTACACTCGGGAATATTCTTAATATTAAAAGCAATCGTATTGTACCGTCCAACCCTGCTCACGAAAATCGTATTCACCTTCCGTATTTTTTTCCAAAACAAAGCGTCCTATTACTTCAGTTGGACCGATATAACGTGCTTCAATGGTGTTCTTATCTGAGAAACGATGTTTTCCAAACAAAATTGAAAATAGAGATTTTAAATTGTGAAAAGCGTTAAGATTGTTAGCCTGTTAAGTTTAACATATTGTAATTCCATCATCATGCTTTGACTCGGACAGTCATTTTGATATGTTTATGTTATACAATTTAATTTTTACATTTCAAAATGTCAAAAGGTCATATTTTGTTTCATATAAAAATCCGATATTGGTTTTGAACTTAAATGTGTTTATAAAGAGTCGTGAATAACACGGGATAAAAAGCCTGGTTTATAATTACTGGTCGGGATTAAATATAAGTTTATTCCTGTTTACAATATGATATTTTTCCCTCGCCCTCTGGACAATCGGAAAATTGTATTGTCCCACGGAACAAAATCCATATTAAATCCCTCCCAGTGAATAACCTCTATATCTATCCTACAATCGCTACAGTATTTCCTTCGAGATGAACCTTTTATCTTAAACCTCCGAGTATATTTAATCTAAATTATATATTACCTTTGTTTCAACTCACGGAGGGCCCAAAAAGTTCTTGTTTTGCAGTTTTCGGTTTGACCAATTGGTTTATCATTCAAAAGTTGTTTCGTCACTTCATTACTTGTTGTGTCTCTTGCATAGAAGTTATAATATGGTTGGTCATCGAACCTAATAAATATAATCAAGATTAGCAATCGTACAAATCAATATCAATAGAGATTGTAAAGTTAGTGAATGATACAATGGATATGTTGTATATATATATATTAAATGTATATCTCTATTGAACTCTGGCAGCGTCATTCCAAATGAAGGTCAATTTGCATACTCAATTTAACAGAGTCATGACTACCATGGTAGTTCATATCATAACTATTTATTTACTCAATTTTTAAATAAAGATGGCATGGTAATCGATCTGTGTTTATTTATAAATATTCTCTTACTGGACTCTGTTTGTGCTGCCATCTTTATATCGGCTAAGAACCTATGCAAATTACTGTTAAATATAACTTTATGCTCACCAAGACTGTGTCGTGACTACGAAATAAGACTAATTGAAATTATATACTCACTTCAACAGCGTCATGACTACTGAGTTACGACCAATTATAACTTTATCTGTGACATCGAGAAGCATTTGTTTTACTTGTTCCATTTGTTCATACACCGAACAACTTTGATCAATTACCCAAAATACATTCTTGCAAGCTAAAATAAATATGTTCTGCAAAGTCAGAGCTGTAGCCATGTTTTCGCGTTGCAAATCAATGTCAGAGTGTTTCAGTGGTTATAACATGAATTTTGAAGATACCCATACGTATATACTATTATACGTAGCTTTATACCAGTACAGGATAACAATATATAAAGTACAACCAGAATTCAGTTCAAATGAACCTCTCAACCATAGTGGAATTTTCTTGATTATTTTTATACCGATTTAGTGTATTCAATTGATGTAACAGAGATACAGATATGTAGCATTAACAGTTTTTGATAAAGAGAATTTTATTCTTTTTTTTATTCATAGAATTTATTTTACAAATACATAAAGTACATAACATTATACACTTGTAGTGGCTTTGCTGAAGGCATTATCAGCCACTTGATTAATAATTGCAGGGTGAAGAAAAAAGAAAAATTTAAATAAAGAGAAATAAATGTTCCGTTGAGTAGTTTAGGTGCATAGCACTAAAAATCGTCCAAAGTATAATTTTCGGGATTTACGATTTGTGTCATTTCAATCATTTAAGTCATTTCATGCTGCATGTATCACTAACATAGTTTAGTAAATCATTTATATCGCATCCCTGCATCTGTCATTATGAATTGAATAAGAAATATTTACAAATTAGTTTTTTAACTTGCAATGCAAGTGAACTGGCTATCGAGCATACGTCCCTGAGTTCTTAAGAGTCGTTGATGCCATGCGCATCAACTATACAACTGTTCAACGCATAGAATACATTATAGATTTACCCCAGAAATTCCATGGCGAATTCATCATAAATGAAAACTGTATTCCACAGGAGAGACACTCTTTATATTACTTCGTATTATTTGGAAGTATTTTTCTATCTATAGAGGAGCGAAGTGTAGTGTAGTGTAAGGTAGTGTAATGCAGGTAATGCAGTGCTATATAGTGCAAAGTTGTTAATTGAGCAATACGTTTTCAAAATCTTTTGTTCGGTTCGGTGACTCCATCGAATTGCACAATTAAATTCTGCTATGATTTTAAGGATATTGATTGGAAGAGTTGCCATCCATGGTGGAGCATGTTTTTTTTCATAATGATAAAACAGAGAGTAGCATACTTTGTGAATATTTTGAATTGATTTTTTTAAATGATCGTGACCTTCTTTTGTCTAATAAGGAAGAATAAAAAAACGAAAAAATGTTATTCAAATTGTTGAATTAACATTAAACATTTGTGAAAATTGTTATGAATGAATTTGGAGTTCAAATGTTCAAATTTTCATAAAGTTGTAACGATGGCAGTGCGATCAGTATGTCATTATTTGGATAGTTACTCTGAGTGCTCCGATCTATGAAGAGAAATAAAGTTCAATAAAACTGAAAACATTTTATAACATAATATCTTACACTCTTTAAACGGGTCAACTGGAGCATCTGGATCGTATAACTCAAAACTGCGTTTAATCTCGCGTTCATTCAAGCTCTGCACAGGCCTACTAAAACCATCAAGAGTTGGACTTCCATCGGATCCAATGAGCCTTCGGTAAGCCTCAAACTAAAAACAAAGGTGCAGGAAAAGACCGAAATAATTAAATTTTGAATCAAAAATATATTATGTTATTACTATAATTTAAATTACATCTAAGACACTGGGTGGGTCTTTCATTGAGCGACAAACCTTCACTTCTAATAACCTGATTTCTATGTATCAAAATATATACAGGGTGGGCCAAAATACGCCACTTTTGAAGATGCAGCTTACAACTTCTGCACTTACTTTAGAATGCTATAAATAAATCTTCCTTTTTAAGAAAGTCTATGCACAGAATTCTGAATTCAAATATACAGTAAACATAGCAAAAGTGGAGAGATCTATTTACCTGAGTCTTGGACATTGTGATGCTATCTGCAAACACGATTCGAATAACATTTTCATCACAGGATGGGGATGAGAAACTTCCCATATATTGGTAGTATCTGTAAAAACAATCATAGAGTCATAAACATCATTCTCTAAATATGAGATTTGATATAGTATATCTTAACTCGGCAAGTCCATTGTTCTTTTAATATGAGATTATTATATCCATGATAACAATGATCGATTTATGATATCTCAACTCCCCTCCCAAGTCTACAGTTCTCTTGATATAATGTCATTATATCCATGATTATAACAACTGATTTTGGATATCTTAACTCTAAAGTCCATTGTTCTATTGATATGACGTCATTATATCAATGGTTACAACAACTGATCGAGGATATCTTAACTGTAAAGTCCATTATTCTTTTTATATGACGTCATTATATCCATGATTACAACAACTGATTTAGGAAATCTTTACTCCAAAGTCTATTTTTCTATTGATGTGACGTCATCATCGCCATTGTAACAACACTTGATCTCGGATATCTTAACTCTAAAGTCCACTATTCTTTTGATTCGACGTAATTATATCCATGAGTACAACAATTGATTTAAGATATCATAACTTAAGTCCATTGTTCTCTTGATATGACGTCATTAAATCCATAATTACGACAATTGATCTCGGATATCTTAACGTTAAAGTCCATTATTCTTTTGATATGACGTCATTATATCCCTGATAACAACAATTGATTAAGGGTATCTTAACTCTAAAGTCATAGACTCCATAGTCCATCTTACCAAGTGACGTCTCTATTAATTATTTGAAATTCAGATTCCATTTTCACAGGCGATATCTAAAACGGTACATAGAGTCAGCCATTATTGACTTTACCGTTGTCATGGTGTCCAAATGTGATAATTGGCACAACCCCCATGCTTGAAGTTGTACAAAACATTACCTATTTCTCCTTAGGTCGGGTACGACGTCACTTAATGACAATCCATTATCAGCCATCTGAGCCACGTCGCCTTAACAAAGACAAAATTTAGGAGACAATCAAAATTATGTTTACAGGAAATGTATATTATCAACAAACATTATTCGAAACATCCACGCCCGTAAAACGAACAAAATGATTGGGGTGGGGGATACCTGTAGTGCGATTCATGCTAGGAAATTCAATGAATCTGCAAGATTCATGAGAAGCTTTACTAAATATATTCCTTATGAATAAGCTCATTGTTTGTTGAAGTCTATTTGGTGTTTTTCTTATTGTTTATTTTAAACATTTTGAAGCTTATGAAACAGCAAGGACAATGTACTACACTTCAGATAGGCACATTAACTGTGAACTCCCGTTATGCATTTTGAGGCATATGACCCTAACCTGGATTGGTAATTGAGTATAAGGTTTTGTTTAATCCTTGTAAGTTAGGGTTATTCTTCTCCATACCCGACTCAGGGACATCTAAGACCTAAAACAAATCAGGGGTTTCGTAAAATCATGCTTATTAACGTGTCTACTCGAAGGCCTCTAAATACTCTTTTGACTAGCAAAAGCCAAAAAATCAATGGCAATTCTCTCGTTTCAAAAATGTTTAATGTAAGCAATTCAACAACAATATGTCAAGGCAAACTTATGAGACATGCCGAAAAATAACTGGTCTAGTTACACTTTCATAAGAGAACTTGCACGTCAACGCGTGGTGTTATCAATCTGAAGGACTACTGTCCATTTCTCGATATGTTTCCAGGGATAACCTAAATACGACTGTTTTTCTCATACTACTCAATTTGTAGGTAAATTCTAAGAAGGAGAGAATTCAGAGGACAATGATTTCACCCGTTCAAATACAAGTTCTCGTAAGGTTTGGTTACCTTCCCTCTATCGACAATAAGCGAACCGCCTCTAAACAATTCTTAATAACGTGTAACTTACTGAAAAAAGAACGCTAAATATGGCTATCCCATCAGGTTTTCCCACAGCTTCCTCGTAGTTTTCATACAAATCCTTATTCCAAGCAACAATTTGCAACTGTAAAAATATGAAATTAACACTAAAAACAACATGTCAAAAATTATACGTATAATTACGTTTCATACAATATATCTGATTTAAAAACAACATGTCGAAAATAATTACATTTAATACAATCTGATTTAAAAACAACATGTCGAAAACCATACGTATAATTACGTTCAACACAATATATATGATTTTTCAAGTCAATATTATTTTTGAAATCGTGAAGGTATATGCTCCAAACCATACGATGGCAGTGTTAGGTTCTAAGTCTACAATAACCGTAGTCATCGTCGATATCTTTGATTATTAAAAGGGATGTATGCTCATTCCCTTCTTAAAACCATCAAACAGATCGCGATTGTCTGCGTTTTCTCCATTGTCGTTTACAGTAAGTATGCTAACGTTACAAAAAATGAACCAATATGCAAACGGCGATTATGACATAGCGGGCATATATACTATATATGCCCGCTCGGAGCGGGACGTAAAGCTACATCTGCCCGCTGATGAAAATATAAGTTTGTACAAACCGGCGTTATGTACCTGTTACACGTTACAAGTATAGGAAAAAGTTACATATACAAATATTTCAGATTTCTGAAACGATGAAAACATCTGTTTGCTCAAATTGCATCACCCCGTGGTGTGCCTTACCCCGCGCGTTTAACTATTACGCTTAAGTTGGTACGTATCCTGTACTGCACGTGGTTTAGTGAAAATCTTACCTCGAGTTTTGCCTGTGCGCCATCTATAACATGTTCACCAGGCCAGTTAAATATGGCCTCTTGTACTCTAAATTCTCCAGGTAGGTTTCCATGGTAAAACACCAATAGATGCTTCTTTGGAATGTTAATACGAACTGAAATGAAGAAATAAAGAATGTTAAGCGCATTAAAAATATGCACATATTTTGTGCTATTTTTGGTTAATATTACTTCGAAATGGCGCCATTACTTCAGTTACCCTTACTAATTGCTTGACGTTTTTCATCGATTTTGATACTTAAAATTATTATCAAATGAGTTCATTTCTACCATTTTGATAATTCGTAGATGCTTGTATGGAAATTACTCGTGTCTGATACCACACACTATGTTTCGAATGAATAGGAAAGTATTTATATGAGAAATTAGCTGACTTACTGACCTGCATTCCCAATGTTCTCCAATGTAGTTCGTCGTAAATGTTTATTTGCATTCAACAGAAATAACTGAGAAAGACTGTCATCTAATACAGCGGACTCTGTTGTTATTTCTATAGGTGATTGGTTCTGGCCGCCGCATGATGGATAATTCTCGTTCCAGTTTGAGGGACCTGCGAAACAAATATTTTTCTTCACTCGTTTTGACTCCATTTAACAAGTTTGGAAGCGAGATTTCGGACCGTTGGTTGATGTTACTTGATGTTCCTTGATTTTAACAACAAATACATACTGTTCCAATATTATAATGTTCAGGAAATGACAATAATTGTTCATGGTAGAGTTTTGAAGTTCCTTTCCTTTTATCATTTTCAACATATGTTGTTATCACTTTATGGCCTAGTCACATAGCCCGGCCGATGAGGTTACGATGAGCCAGCGATGCAATTTTCACCGAACTCGGCCGAACACCGGCCGGACACCGGTCGGACATCCGTGGCGTTTGTTGCTTAAAACCGCATCGGTGGTAACTCGGTGAAATTTTTACTTCAGAGCCGATGTGGGACAGAGCATCGGCCGGTCACTGTTCAAAGCCCGTTAACAACCCGGCCGGCGATCGCACGGTGTCCTGTTACCTGCTCGGGTACCGGCCGTATTCCTGCCGATGTCCGGCCGACCTCCGGGCGTTAGTTGCTGCCACATCGGCAGAAAAAACTACCATTTCGAGACAGACTCCGTACGGTCACCGGCCGGTGTTCGGTCGGTCGCCTGAAGATGTCCGGACGGAGTCCGTTCACGTCACCGAGCTCTGCTTCCGATGAGGAGAGCTCGGTGGCACAAAAAAAATCCACCGAGCTCTACCGATGCCGGACATCGGCCGGGCTATGTGACTAGGCCATTAGCATAGCTGTCATGTAATTATTAAAGTGTTGTGTCTATAATGATTTCCAAATGATGTTTGGGGTGGGGGTTCATTTGACAGACAGCATCTTATGACTTACCAGATGGTGAGCTTGGATCGTAATTCCAATCTGAAAATGAATGCAAACATTATATGACATATTATTATATATATAAAAGATATTTAATGTAATGCAAAATATCAATAACTTGATATTTGTTAAAGCCAGACCGTTCCAGACTACAACCGAAATAGATGACGCATTGGGAGTTAATGTAAGAGCAAGACTGTTCCAGACTACATCCATAATAGAGAGCGCATGCGCATGCATTTAGAGTGGACTTAAATGTGAAAGCCAGACCGTTCCAGACTATATACCCAGAATAGAAGACAATTGGTTGGCGAAAACCGTATGATTTACGATCATTCGGCTTGGACTGTTTTTATTACTCAACTTACAATGATTCATTATATGTTTACAATAAAATACCATATTCTGTTATTTGGAAAAATAATTTATCTACACCATTTTTGTTGCATCATTGTAAACGAGCAGAGACAAGTTTTGTGTTTGTAGTTCTAGTACACAAAAAGTTAAACTTAAAGTCTAAAGAAACGGCAAACATTACCTTGTCCATATGCTAGGACGGGTAGCAGCAGCGTGAAGACCAACATCCTTTAGGTCCTAAAAGAGAAAATGATAGTGCCCAATGCTAATAGAAAATAGAAAACGCTTTTGAGACATGTCGACTACAATCGAATTCGAACCTCATGTACAATACGTTTCTGAACAAGAAAAACGTCACCTTCTAAAATTTATTGAAACTCTTTCCATTTTTAACTTACAGTTTATGTTTTGTTATCGAAATAATTTTGATTAGGTTGAAATGGAAAAAATGCATCACAGTGCCACTCGATCGACAAATGTAAACAAGCTGTTTTATGAATTCGTTAACTTGTTTACATAGTTGTTGGCCTAAACAATTTAGATTCTGAGCATGTATTTTTCTACATTACAGTTAATAAATAGAATACAACATATTAATATCAAAACTAACAGAATTCGCATTTTTTAAATTTAAATGTATGCTTAACACTACTGTGAATATGAAAAAAATGTTTTTATCTACTTACCAAGAGTTGGGCCTGAGGTTCCAAGTAGGCGATTGTGAATGCTTGATACCAAGATACACGGACCATATATAGTACTCCGCTACTGAACTTAAAGTCGGGTTGATGCTAATTACTTATTTATTTCAAATAAACAACATTCGTTTCATATCATCGAGTCTTGAATTATGCATTACTAAACAAATAGGAAGGCAGGACATCTCATGCATAAGCTACACGCCAATCGGTATAAACTTAATGTATGCTCTTTAGTTTATGAACGGGTAAATGGGTAGGGGAGCTCTAATGACCCATCTCTTGGCGAGGTGTGTGTTAGCTCATGAAATATTTGTTTATACTTCTAGAAAACGAGTTAATGATTTAGTAAGGAAATACAATCCCATTCGGGTTAGAAATGAGTCAGATATATGATAGATTATTGATTCAAAAATGTTTCTCGAGTTGTACTTTAAATTTTGCATATATCAATGAAGTTTTAGCTTGCTAGAATAGTTCAGGCAGTCGATGTCTCCAGTTTTACCTGTCTACGTTCAGATAGACTTTCTTCAGTGAAACCAGCAAATTCAAATGCTATTAAGACCAACAAAAAGGTTTCGGATCTGCAGATAACCATAATGCAAGTCCGTCGAAGTATGTGGGACCGTAGGACGTAGAAGTATGTGGGACCGTAGAACGAAAAAGCGTTCATCTTGAGTGGTATTTTCTGTCTGATAGATAGGTTTTACTGTATGTGTATCTATGAGACATCGTACGATTTTAACCATCCATTTGTGATAATAAATAGATTCATTTAATTTCAATTTAATCTCATCTTCACAATGTTAATTTAAAACGCATTAAAACAATAAGTAGGAATGCTAAATATTTTAATGGGCCTCATTTCATTAGTTTGATTTGCTTCAATGGTAATTTAATTCACAGCCGTAAAGTTAATACTTTTTAAGCTCATCGTGTGCTGTATTGATGATACAGTGATGATCAAACGGGAATATCAAACTTAATTGTTATACAATGTTATTTTAATTGCATATTAAAATAATGACAAATAATAACCGCATAACAGATATTAAGGGTACTTAAAAAGAATTTACAATTTTGCTAAGTAGACATAAAACAATATCAGTGTCAATAAATCCAGGTATAACAGGGAACATTAATGCTGGAATATTTTAATTAATTTTCATTTCATTATGTGATATTGTTTTTACATCATAGTATGATCAATAGCAAGTCCCTGGTGTCCTAGTATGTATCACAATGTATGTAGCTCTTTGTAACGTTCTATGGAACAAAATCCGAACTGTGCTGACTCGAAGTAGTAATTTCATGGTTATCTTTAATAGGACTTTAACTGACCATCATAATTATAAAACAACGATTTCTTGTAGATTTCCTGCAATAAACCCTGAAAAAATATATTTAAGTATAGTAATAGCTCACTTAAGTACAAATTATCTTAAATTACCTGAGTGGTTTCGTCCTTGTGTCGTCGATTTATCATTCACGATACATCAGATTTGTCTTTTTAATTCATCATCATATTCATTTCAAAGGTGCTGTTTCAATTGACATTATTTTACATTGTACATTACTTCGAACCTATATGTTATTATTTATCTCGACGACCTACTACAGGCATCCTAGACGTCCACTTACTCTGTCGTCAGTTCTGATCTCGCTGACCACGTTCATCACAATCGAACCACGTTCTTCCATCGTGAATTAAGTCTTGAGTCGCGAATCTCCGGTTCCTCTCCTCCAGACATATTTCTCCACCCAAGCGCATCGAGTTTCCACATCACGAACCACACAACTTAGCGAAGTCGGAATTGACGACCGCATGTTGGTTAGAGTTGGTTTAACACCTCAATCTAGCTCAATCTCGGAATCAAATCAAGAAGAGTCGACTGTTAATTTACACTACCCTCTAAGAATTTGGCAATCTGAAGCTTTCATTTTGCGGCGTGTAAAATCCTGTCATTGAACTGTTGAACTTTTATTTTTCCTTTATTACATGTACATTACTTCGGAATCTCTGGTTTTGATGATTATATTCAAATCACCAACGATAAACAAGCTTTATGAAGCTATTCAGAAAGATAATTTGTTTATTGAATCAAACATGAATAATACATTTAACAAGGCAAATATGAAATATTAAACCACTTTCACAACACCTCTTTTCATTCAGACATTCGCAACAGTCATACCCAAAAGCTCTGGTATATATAAAAACATATTATTTTCAAATTGAATCACGTCCAAGTTTGGATTTACCTCATTTAAATTTTTTGCATATATATAATATTTGATTGCTTGTGATAGCCTATTTATCAAAATGTTTACATTATTTACAGGTCTTCCGAACACCATATCATGGGCATTAAAATCAAGATTTACATTACATAATTTCTCTAAGTTCTCTTAAAGATACTTCCTATTGCTGAATGTTTGAAGGGAAAGTTATATAGGGCATCGGCAAGGTTATATGTATACATGTTAATACTTTGCTTGACATAGAAAGACGGCTTTGGAAAATGAGTTTCGTAATTGTATCAGAAAAAATGAACTATTTGTTAATATTTGCTAAAGTTGCTTGCGCGTCATGAATGCATAACATAGCTAAATAATTTATCCTGGAATCTTTGGGATATAATTGCCCTGCGTATTATATTGCTCACAGAGCGACATCCATTGAAATTCACATTTTCGTTCACGAGTCAATACATGTTCTTCTTTTGGCGCTTTTATCTCAAAGATTTATGATTTTACTATGTTGTATAATCATGCTGAGACGCCCTGTAATATCAATATGACCATTGGGAAATGTGAATTGACCTGTACTGACATCTCCAATGAGGGTTGTAGCAACACGCGTGAGCAAAAATAAGGGATGGCACAAGTCAAGTCAAAACGCATCATAGAGGCTACTGAATAATTCCAAGTTCTCGCAGGCGTTCAGGCAAATGGAGTTATGTCATGAAGCGACAACAAAACATTTTGGTGATATCGTTCTGTCCCCATTATTAAACTCCATATGTGGTGCATCGAGTTAAATAAAATACGTTTAAGCAAAAGGTCAATTGCGGATGGCCAATTAGCTGATATCAGCGTTTAAACATTAGTTTTTTATGAATGTCAAAGCATTTAGTTTCTATAAAACGTTGATGCACCGACATATTGTGTTCTTTATGTTCTCCTCGACTCTTTTTATAGTTCATAATATTATTGAGGAAACAGAAAATATTGGCCTTTTAAAAGGTTCTGTCATAAAATGTAAATGTCGCAGGGACCAAATGGATATGGATTGTATCTGAAGACAAAACAGCTCTTCGCACGTTTTGATTTGTCATGTACTTCTAAACTAATTAAAACAGTGATAAAAACTGTGTCTACAAAGCAAGTAAAGCTTATTTAGTTAAAGAGAGAATTAGATCTATCGAGCAGGCTAAACAAACAATTGTTTCAATTTTAAAATATTTTTGGCTCGTGTCTTTCCTTGTCATGTCAATTTTCTAAAAATCGCAAACGTGCAAACTTTATTCCAGGAAAACTAAAGAATTTTACAATAATGTATTATTTTTCTCTAAAAGTGGTTACCATTCTTATTATTTGGAAAATTTTAAACATTTTTCGCCCATTTTTGCACTTTGAATCATTAATAACTTGACCATTATAACATATTGTGAATCTTTTTTTGGGAGATATTGTATTTATATTTAAGGATATTGTAAGAAATATTAGTGTATTGTACAATTGGTACAATACACTATTTGTAGGTCAATTATGCATGTTGCTTGTAATTCTGTCACCCCCTATAGATCAGATTCTGCCATTAACTATTAGTGATGATGTATTATATTACAGTACTATTATATATTATTATATTATATTATAATTATTAAACTATACATTGTAAAGCTGTATTTTCTCATCTCTAAAACGCCAGTATTACTTTATAAAATAGAGATATTACTAGTACTGTAGTTCATCCTAACTAGTGTACGGTGAATACATTTGTTAAGCTACGTTCACACCAACGGCGCTTTGATGGCTCTTAAAAAGCGGCTTGTAAAGCGGCACCAAAGCGTAACAAAGCTTGATTAAAGCGTCGGGGTCGTAATAGGTCGTAGAAAAACGTGGAGTATAGCGGGATATTCGGCAAGAGCGCCAAACATTTTTAAAGCTACGTTCACACCAACGGCGAATGCCACGCTTTGAATCGGCGATCAGAGCGCCGTCATTTTTGTTTACTTTTCCAAAAATATAAGTAATGTTACGCTCAGATAAGCTCTGATACGCTCTGATTTCCCGACTTGTTACGGTTCCTCACGCTATGATCCCGCTTCGACCAGGCTTTGTTACGCTTAAAATTAAGCTTTGATAAGCTTTGGTAAGCATTATTACGCTTTGATGCGATTATGACGCTTTAATCAGGCTCTGATACGATTGCCAAGCTCTGTTGTGCATTTTCGAGATTTGGCGTTAAAAAGCTTGAGAGTCCTTCATGAAAGCGTAACAAAGAGTGTCAAATATTGATGAAAGCGCCATCAAAGCGCCGTCGGTGTAAACGTAGCTTTAAATGATGACAAACAACAAGCGTTGTGGTACATACAGGCATATAAGAAAACCCGTTCACTGTAACTCAGTTCACCTAATCTTCTACGTCAAAATCCAGAAAAAAATACTCCAATGGAGTATAAAATTGTCACCAGGATTCCGAAATGAGACGAATGTTAACTCGTGAAATCTCGGTAGATAAAGTAGGTCAGAAAATCTGGATTAATCCGAACAAGGGTCGGGAATTTTCGTCATAAGAAGTAGATCAAAAATACTCCAATTGGAGTATAAAATTGTCACCAGGATTCCGAAATACGACGAATCGAATCGGCAAACTTCGGTACAATAATGAAGTGCATAAAAACCGAAATGATCCGAACAACGTTCGGATAAAATCGTGAAACAGGTGTCAGGGGCTTCCCCTCATCTTTCCCGACATGGTTCTAAAAGCCTTATATGGATCTGTCATGTGACATTCGAAATGACGTCCCTATATGGTTCGATGGGCC